GAATCTGTTAATTTTTGGATACTCAATCCAAAAATTTGATCTAATTATCACAAAAAACACATGTACATTAAAAATTTAACAATAAGAATTTGAATAATGAACTAAAAAAATGAGGGAAACTGAAAAATTGAAGTGAAAGCAAAAGGGAAAACCAAACAAGAGAGGGTAACAAAATAAAAATGAAAAAAGTGGGTCTTACATTATGATATTCACTTTATTTTTACCTATTTTACAGTATAAGTATAATATATATGTGTTATATTTATTTACATAATATATTTTTTTAATTTAAATCAGATTAATAATGAGTCAAATTATTATAAATTTATATTCAAATTCATTTAGATAATTCTAATCAAATCCTAATTAATGGGTTAAAATTTTGATCCATATCCACTTAGACGAATTGGAATTGAAATACGGTCATCTGGCAGGCGTATTTCAAAAGTTGAAGTTTGCTAGTTCCTTTCAAAATTCAAAGACAGGACGGCCCTTTTATATTATTAGACCGAATTAGCTCATCACTTTTGGTCATATGATGACTGGCTTACGACTTGATCAAAATTCATACGGAACCAGCTAATGTGCTTTGATTCGATAAGCATTTAAACAAATCTTTGCGCCGGCAATCACGCATCAACCTATTCTAAGAATTCCCGCGTTTTCTTGGGCACATGATTCAAAACATTAATATCGATCATTGACTCAGTCAATTATGAGATACTTCGTCCGTGACAAAAATTAACTTAAAAAAAATATATTGAATATTCAGATTATATCAAAATATCGTAGAATCGTATCGATCAATTTAGTAATGACAATTCAAACAATTCGACATGATTCAAAATTTATATGTATCTTGTAAGAGTATTATCTCAACTTATTTGTACCAATACTTTGAACTGTGCTCAAGCACGCATCAAGAATAACATTTTTTTTCTTCTTCATTCACATATCAGAACGGGAACGATGAGGAGTGCTCATCTATCCAAATAATTTGTCATTTGTTTGAATCGAAAAATTAAATTTTCTAAATTAATCGTAAAAATTTTTACGAGTTACTTCTTTCTGAATTTACAGTAGAAAAGAACCTAACACATATATACGAATATTATTTATTAAATTATAATCAAATAAATGGTTCGATAATCAATTATTAAGTTTAAAAAAATAATTAACATAAACCTAAACACCTTATAATAAAAAATAAAAATCAATCAAGTGGGTTTTTTGAAGAGGGAAAGCAGCCATCACATCCCGGGAAAACGCGCAAGTGACCTAACCTTTCACACTCTGATATAAAGAATATGCTTATTCTAATGCTAATTGCCTAATGCTTTAATTGATAAGCAAGGAGCCAGGACAATGACACCTGCTCCTATTTTATTCTGTGATTATATTATGGCTCTGACCTGTGACAACTCCAAAAATACTTGTTAATAAATTTATATTATAACCCTAAATACAAATTTTACAAGAAATATTGTTATTGGTCTAACACTCATGGTTTTTTTGATAATTGTGGCTAATAAGCGTAAGAGATAATTCAAATGATAATCGAAATAAATTATAAAATCAGGCGTCTTGAGTTTGAATTTTGGTAATCCCTTAAAGTCAAGCTATAAGAGATTTATTTCTCATGAATATCCTAGTTTTAGCATGAATGACCCTGTCTTTAACCAAATCGAAGAAATAATTAGTTGAAGCGTAAATTAATTGAAACACCCCTAACCATTGAAAAAAAAAAATAGAATATAATTGTGGGTAGTTTTGAATTATAAATTAGTTGTTAGTAGTTCATCAAAATACTTTGGATGAAAGGATTTAAAAAGTTATTGTCTTTGACCCTTTGGGTTTTAGTGTAGGGGGGTCTTGATGAATTTAATATTCATGGTTATAGTTGATTATGTATTTTTAAAATTTATATTATAACCATACGTAAGCACACATTTACATTTTTATGTAAAAAATAGAATTTCGATCTAATTTAAGAATCTAATTAAGGGAGATAATCAATTGTAGCTGTTAAATTAAAAATATGTTTCATTTAATATTCAAATTTATAACTAATTTAACATCCGTATTAAATTATGTTATCAAATTAAGTGCATATAAAATTGATCGGTTTGTTCTAGCCTTCAATAAATTATATATTTTGGAGTCATATTTTGCATTAAAAGTCTTTCCTAGTTTTGAAAATATTTCCTAGACTGCTATTTTGGAATGTTCCAGATGGGGGCCTGGTGGCAATGACTTAACGTTTACCTGGAAGTCTCCTTCTCAAGTTCTCATAGTCGTAGCATATTTCAACAAGATCTTTCTTTGAAATTACGAACCCCTGTGAATGTTCGTTCAACTCACATGATTAGTCGAAACATTGTCGAATTTTCTTATAAACATAGTCGATTAATTGAAACTCACCCTTTGAATGTTCTTATATATATATACATATATATATATATACACACACACACAATACACATTGGCAGAGCTACATTAATATGTTTCATTTGGTACAACGAAAAAATAGAAAAACAGAAAGTTAGATGAATAGATATAATATATTGTTTAGTAAAGTAGGAAATTAGGAAAGATAGTAACGTGGATGAATCAACTTTCCTTATAATTCATCAAAATTAATGCCTCCAAAATTGAGAGAAAAAGTTGATGGTAAGTTAATTATGTGTATTGAAATATATATTTTTTGTCTATATATTCTTTTGATATATACATATATCATTTTTATCATATGTATATATTAATTTCATATATCGTAAAATATGTATTTATATTTTTTTCATTTAAAAAAAAATATTTTTTCCATCTTGTCAAACACAAAAAAATTAATCTTTCCTACTTTTCATCCTTCTTATTAAACGCAAAAGAGAGAAGAAATGATTTCTCCCTTGAAAAATAGAAAGTGTATCACTCTCACTTTCGATCTTTTCATTTTTTCGTTCACCCTATCAAATAGACCATAAATTTTGGATCTTCTTCATTTATGTCATTTTTTTATTTAATTTATTATATTTGACCCCCTAATTTTTTAACACAACTGTATATTTTACGGGTCGTTTGGTAACGTTTTTGTTTTCGTATTTTTAAAAAATAAAAAAAAATAGAGATATTTTTTTTTTGTTTTATGATAAATACTAAAAACAAAAAATATATTTGAAAGTCATTTGTATTTACCAAATTGTGAAAACAAAAATAAAAAACACGTTTGACAACCTATTCAAATTATGTCCCAATATAACCCAAACATCATACAAACATGACCACTAATGGGGACATATTATTACCCCAAACATATTTTTATTTTTGTTTTACCTAAAAAATAAAAAAAAACACAAAACACGAAATAGTCTTATTGTTTATTTAGATTTTATTTAAGCTAAATAAAAACTAATTTTGTTGTTTCATTTATTAATTTAGTTTTGAATTTTATTTTATTTTTTCATATTTGAACTTAAAATTTTCTTTATATCAGCTACTAATTTTTTTCTTATTACATTTTGCCCCATAAAACAAAATATGGTTCCACTCCTGACAATACACACACATATATTTATTTTATAGACGAATTTTATCATATTCTTCCCCTTTAATTCACTTTAAATCATCAACAACATTGACATTCTCACCATCATAATAATTTATAATTTTTGTAATTAAACATACGAAAAAAACCAACAAAATTTTTGGAGGGATCATCCAATTGCTTAACATGTTGTAAGAAAAATAACACGTTAAGCCTCCCTAAATGAAGCAACAATTGAGTGAAGGTAAAGGAACAATTCTTGTTTAATTCCTTATTACTCCTCATTTGCACAAAATTTTTATAATAATTTTAGAATGGACTCGATGAAATGTTTATTTTATTTTTTTCTGATCCATTGTAAATTCAAAATACAAATAATTAATGGTTAATTACGACATTAGATTAACAAAAAGGAAAAATGTCATCTTTTGCATGTCTCTATACTTCGAATTAACAATTTTATTTTTATTTTTTTGCATTTAAACTATGTTAACAAATTATCGTTTTTATAAAATTGGGGAAATTACGAAGTTGCATGAACTGTCACTGATCCCACAATTTACATTTAAAGTATGCAATGTAAGAAGTCAACTTACATCACCATATCAAAGGTGTGATGGAGGAGACCCTCCATTACATTTTGCTGTATGGATTTCGTAATCGAGGGGCCTGACCATCATGAGTTCTAAGTTGGCAAACCACATTACCAAATCCAAGAAATATAAAATTAAAAGAATAGTAATTTTGACACTTAAAAATATGATCTAATTATTATTTTTTTTAAAAAATTATCTGATATAGTTAGGAAGTCAAAATATGATCTGAGTGGTTAACACTATAATTAATTAAAAGATTTAAATTTTCTTTAAGCCACTCATTTTATAAATGAGTAAATCTGACGCGACGATTAATATACGAATTAGTTATGAGTGAAGTCAATCCAAAAATATATATGACACGATTTGTTTATATATCGATTATACACGACACGAGTCTGATATAATATTACTCATTAAACACAAATTAATAAACGAATCAGATATAAATAAAATATTTTTTGATACGAACTTATTAAAACTTATTAAAATTAGGAAGTTAACGGTTAATTTAATGGTTATTGTCCTCGTTGTTAGACCTAAAGATATTAAAAATTAATGTTATGTTATATACAAATAATATTTTTTAATAATAATAATACCATTTGACCATTATCAAATCACCATGTCATCGAATAAAATTTTAAGTTCTTAATAGCATTTGCTTTCTTTCTTAACTTTGTAAGAAATTAGAAATAATAATTAGAAAATAGAAAGCATTTTTATTTTTTATAAAGGAAAAGAACAGGTCATGATGACGCGGACCAACCAATGATCGCCATGTAGGCCCCACCACTCCCACCTCACCCCCTCCCTTATAATCTCTCTCCACAGCTAAGCACCCTCTCAATCAACCCAAAGCCATAGGGCTCAGGTGCCTCCCCACATCCCCGGCCGTCGGGGTTGGGCGAGTGGTTCCACTCCCCCCGATGTCGCACCCCAATCCGCCACCACCTCTACCGCTGCAAAAATCAGCGCAACCATCTCTTCCGCCCCCGGCGGCGGCGACATCTCTATACAAGCAAAAATCTTGGTCACCGGATACGTACAGAGACGAAGCATGGCTACGGCGGAAGGGAAATCACGGCCTACGTCGCAATCGGCGGAGTAAGAGCGTCACCGACGAAGATGTCGATGAGCTCAAAGCCTGCATCGAACTGGGCTTCGGGTTCGACTCTCCGGATATGGATCAACGTTTGTCCGATACTTTCCCGGCTTATGGCCTTTACTACGCCGTCAATAAGCAGTACTACGACACCGTTTCAAAGTCCTCATCTTGTTTGTCTCCGTTAACATCTACGGCCTCCGATTGTGACATACCGTCCCCCCTTGGTAGCCCCCACACCATAGTTGGCCCAGGTAATTTGCTCTCTCTCTCATGGGTTTTGTTTATTACTTTGCGTGGCTTATGACCATAATCGTAATTTTCAATGATTGTTCATTTCAACAGTTAGGGTGGTAAGTCTTACCTGTAGATTTAGATTGTGAAACTGACTGTGTTAATTCCTTGATTATTTCTTGTGGGAAATTGTTGAAAATGGTGTTTTGTAATTGTAGGAGATAATCCTCAAACAGTGAAGACAAGGTTGAGACAATGGGCACAAGTTGTTGCGTGTTCGGTGCGTCAATCTTCAAGCTGATCGAATAATGACGACGACGACGACGTCTGTCACAAGGGTTCAAGGCAAAGTAAACCATAATTCATGGAAAGTAGCCAAACACCAACCAACCAACTTGTTTAATATTTCCGATCTTTTCTCCGGCGCCGCCGCCACCACCCTGATTGATTAGCTTTGTTTGGTTATTGTAATTGTAATCTTCGTCAAATGGGAAAACGACTTGGTTTAAGGATTTGACTTTTTCTTTGTGCTGGCTATGATTGCTATTTTTATAATGCTTGTTCTTCTTCTTTTTTAATCTTTCCACTTGGTTTAGGCATTAGATTTTGTTTTGGGGTTACAGGTTTAGGTATTAGATTTCATATCTGATGTGAGAAAGGTCAAAAGTTGTTTCTTCGATTGAGTGATGAATATGTTCTGTTTCTTATTACTTTCCTCTTTTTGGGGTACATTTTTCTTGTTTTTTTTTTTTTTTTAAAGTTATTGAGGTTAAGGATACAGTCTCTTTATAAGGAAAAGAATTAAAAAATATCATTGTTAAATTCAATTTATACTTTTTTAATCAATCATAAAATATTATAATCGATCATAAATAAAATAATTAGTTATAAATTTACCTTTAAAATATGTAATTTAACTTTAAATTTGTATTGTTTATGATCGTTCATAATATTATAAATTTCAGTAAAATACTTGTTTCATTACCGTCTCACACTTTGTAGAATCCATCTTGGGTAATGCATCTAAATGAGTAGGAACCTTTATGAATGGGTATAATTGAAAAAAAAAATTAACAAGATTTTATATTGATTTGTGATACAATTTAGAATCTCTAGTATTGCTCGTCCATCCACCTGATAAGTACAGCTAGTTTTCTTTTAAAGGAGTATCTTGCTTTGTAAGTTATGTGTATCATGGTGTGGATTTTATATTCTTTGGTGCGGGCACACCTTTAATTTTGAAAACGTCCGTGTAGTCTGCATGTGAAAGAGTGCTTGACACAAGCCTGCAGAACCTATAATCAAAAAAAAAAAAAAAAAAAAATGAATCACTTTTCCTTTGGAAATAAGCAATAAAAGAGCTTAATTTGATAAGAAGCTAAAACTCTATATAGTTCAAAGTTGCAATTTAATTGCAGAGGATTTTTGCAGCCCTTTCCAGAAAAAAAATAAAATAAAAAAATAAAGCATGTCAAAAGTGCTGTTCTTGCTAGCAATTGCAATGTGATTTTTGTAAGGACATTCTTATTTTTTTTTGACTTAGCAATAAAACTTTTGAATTGTCTAATAGCTTTTTTGAAAAATCTATTCAAAGTAGTACTTAATTTGTATTTTTGTTTTTACTTCGTCCAGGTTTTGTTTCGTTTGTCCATGTTCAAATACACGAAGAATTGTATTATTTATACACTAAAGATGATAAATATCCTTTTTGTTTTTTTTTTTTAATAACGTATTTTCACTTAAAAAAAACGCTATTAGAGATAAATTTACTTATTTTTATTATAAAGTGATACTCATAAGATTGGAACATGATTCTCACTCTTTTATAGCTTTTATCTTTGGCATTAGACTGAGACATTAGTTAAGGATATTATTAAGAGTGTCTACCCATCAATTCCTCAAAGTAGATGGTTTTAAGGTTGCTGGTTCTTTAATAACATGGTATGCAAGTCTAATGATGGTAGCATGTAATTAAGCTTTTCTGCCTCATTTACCACCATTAGAGAGGGAAAAAGAAAAGAGAGAACAAAAAATCTCTACAAAAAATGGCATGGCCCATCTCCTTCATATACGGTGCATGTAGAAGAGGGGCACACTTTTTTTTTTTTTTTTTGTTTATACGTGTTTCAATTAATTTTTTCTCTATTTCAGTTAAAGATAAATCATTTACGTCGAAATTAGAGTATTCATGAGGAATAAATTCATCATGACTTATCCCTAAAAGATTATTAAAATTTAAACTCAAGACATCTGCGTTTATAATTCATTTTTATTACTACTTAAACTATACTTGAGATTGACAGAGGTGCACTTGACCAGACAACTGGCATTAATGAGTACCACATGGCTTGGTCATTTTCTTCATTAGTCGATCATCTAACATGTATTAAGGAATAATTTTTTATTTGTATATAAAGAATTTCATTTGAATTAATCGTAAATGAAAATGAAAGAAAAATATATTGGAACGGTTATCAATCCCTTTATGAGAAATTAGTGTTTTCCACATAGAGTGACAGATAGTTAATGCACTATTTGGAATGGAAACCTTTAATTATAGTGATTGATAACTAGACAAATTGCTGGTGCTTGCAATGTTAACCCCTCAAAATGATTGAACTCTGCCAACTATGGTTGGTCCCCAAAGGTGGACCAAGCTGTTCCATTTTCGTTGGCGTCATTAAGTAGTCATTGAAATCTAGGCCCAGTGGACCACATGATCCTGCTACGGCGAGGTTGAAAAGGATAGAAAATTGTACTTTCATCCCTTGAACTATGTTTCATATCTTATATTACCCCCAATACAAATCGTAGTGCAATAGGTTGACAATTGTGATTATGAAGTTTCACATTGCTTTTCTTTTGGGCCGACAATGATTTCAATGTGACGCCAAACTATGGTAAATTTTTTGGTGAAAATTCCTCATAAATACATTCCCGAACTCTTTTTGGTCTTTGGGTCTGAACTATCTCTTTGAAAGGATTAATGATATGTTCAACACTTCTCATATTTAGTTGCCCCAAGTCAAATATTATTTATACCCTAAAAATATGTTCTAAATTTGTTTAGGTTATGGTTAAGGGTGTTAATCGAGACGTTCAGCTCGGATTTAAACGAACTGAGTTTTGAATAATTTTTTAAGTTCGTTTAAAAAAACAAGCTTGAAAAACTTAGCTCAACTTCGAAAATTTTGGCTTGTTTATTGTTGAAAATAATAGTTTTTAAACAAATAATTGGTTAAAACTATTAAGTATTAAATGATAAATTGTTAAAATATTTTTGTAATTTTTGGGAAAAATTAGAAAAGTGTAAAATAAAGATGACATTGAAGATTACTAGTTTAAAATTTGAAATTTTTGGTTAAAGACATCAATCCAAATAATTATATCATTTCATAAAATCACAATTAACACATTTTAGTTAAAAAAACATTATTATAAATCATTACATTTTTTCATAAAGTCATAATTGATATCTTGTAGACTAAAAAACACCGTTTCAAAGAGTTGTATATTTTCATAAAGTCACAATTAATATCCTTTTACACTAAAAGACACCATAAAAAATGGTTGCACATTTTATGAAAAGTCACTGGTGAGTCTATAAATAAGTGATGCCTTATACTACCAAATCATATCATTAAACAATTTTTACTTTTTACTAGAATTGTTCTCTTATTTTATTTCTCTTTACTATCTCAATTCTAAATTTTGTATTCAGTATTTCTTCTCTCTATGTGCATATTATTGTATTGTTCTTTCTAAGAGTTTCAAGTGTAAAATACAAAATTGTGTTTGTTGGAGTCTTAAAGATTGAAGTGTTACATCTTCAAGAACGAAATATGTTTTATCTTAGAAGACAGTTGTCTGTTAACCTTAAGCACTGAGAAGAAACAAATTTGTTGTAAAAAAACTGTAATTATAAATGACTCGAGTTATTATTATTATTTCTTGATTTTTGATTTTCTAGATTTTTATTATTTGTGCAGTTTTACGTCACTGTAAGGGCATTAGTATTTTTTTAAACATTATGTTTTATTTAAATAGTTTGTATATAATAGTATACTTAGTGATTTATATTTTTCTACAGTAATTAGTAGGTAACATCTGATTATATATATATATATATATATATATATATATATATATATATCTTCCATTCTCTCCTTCTCATTGGCCAAAGTATGTGGCATTGGTGATGCGTAAATTGCTAAAGAAGTTTCCTCTGCCCAACTCGTCCAATGAAATGCTCCGCATGAAACATATGCTCACATCCAATAGTAATCAAGCTCATGGGGATTGGTAGCCTCCCCATGAGTGTAGGGGT